CTGACTATTCTATCCATGTACAACACAAACAGGATTGGGGACAGGACGCAGCCCCGCGGAGACCAGTGCGAACACTGAATGGTTTCGACATAGCGCCATTAACTCTGACAGCATCTGCTACCAAAATACAATGACTGGATGGCCCTCAGCAACTTGCCATCAATCCTGTATGTACGAAGGCATGATCCCGTATGTACGAAGGCATGGTAAATAACAAACAAAACGAAATAGAGAAAACATTAAGGACGTAATGAAAATACGTAAAAAAGAATTATCTTACCGAAGGAGCTGACGTAAGAAATTTAAAGAAAGTCTCAAGAAAAAATGACTCAACGTTCGTATCTCAGATACTTAAGACATTTTGAAGTCTGAAAGTGAGCAAGAATAGCCCGAACAACTTAAAGAAATACCACGTACGGACAACAAGCAACGACTTACGGTGAAGAACAAGCCATGTGTAACATCATATCGGCCACAACAAAGTCAAATGTTATATACAAGAGAATTACCGTGTAGCAAAGGGTAACCAAGTTAGATATTGAACAAAATTAAAAACTGAACCAATGGCCAAACAGCGCAAAATATATACGCCAATAGACAACTTATCTTGAGGAACAAATTCTTTGAAAATTGAAACGTCCACACGACGAGAGCCTCAGCTGAAACATTGAAACGTGTGTTTAATCATGCCGTGACGTTACTGATCGATTTGGATTTAGCTACTTTTGATTGGCTAATGTGCGAGGAGTTATTCTATGATTCGTTAAAAATCTGTGTGCACATTGTTTGCGTTAAAGAAATAAGATGCATTTTATATTGTTTATCGAATGTCCTGAACTTCCATGGGTTCTGTACTTTATTAATAAATTAACTGGGCGTTTTAGGATGATTCGATTTACTTCGTATGTTTCAGGAAATCGCTTGAATATGTTAAGCAAAATAAGTTTAAGAATTGTTGTTGTGATGTGATGTTGGGTAATCTGCTTGTTATACTGTGTCATCTTCCGTGGAACTACGAAATTAAGCGAACTGTGCTTTTGTCAGCTTTGTGATGATGTTTCCAACGTCGCTTTTAAGTCGATTTTCTCTTTGGAATATGAGTGGTGTCGGATACGACATAACGTCGGTGGCACACTTAGTTACTTTCTTTGTAGAATTGTGGTCATACGATGAAGCTGACCCGGTTGCTTTCGGCAAAGCCGCCGCAGCCGTTGGTGGGAATGTGGCAAGATCCGTTGTTCGGTTACTTCGAGACACACGGAAAGATGGAGTTCAAACCGGGTGAGGATTACGGCCTGACCGAAGCACAGAAGAAAGCGGTTATGGAGCGCTATCGCAGAAAGGAGATCCTGAAGCGCGAATATTTGTTGCGCGAGTTCGACCCGCTAAAGTACAAATATATCGAAGGATGTATCGTAAGGAGTTCGAAACGTTATCTTTTCAATACTGCTAGTTATGTTATTGTTCTGTTTGTTTGTTGATCTGGTTTGCTCGTCGGTAGAGCGTCTGTATCAAAATGGAGTTTTCCCAAGTTCGAGCCTCGGTTGGATCACTCGCTTTTCATACTTCCGAGGTAAATAGATGAGTACCTTGTGGAAAAGAAATATAAGGAGACTATAGGCTGTGGTGCTCATAGTATCTTAAGTTGAAGATATAGCATTAGAACAATGAGATACTCTTGAGTAGTGACGCTAAAACTGAGTTTAACGCCGCACCATAAGCTTCATGAAAAGAGGGATTCCTCAAACTGCGCCCAGTCATAGACGTGGGAGGGATACGTTACATCCTAATAGTTGTAAACACTTTCTTCATTTGTGGTTTTTGACACCGGAATAGCCGCTTCCTTGCAGTTTCGTGATCCCTTCTCATTTCAATTTATTGTACGACATAAGTTAATCCAAATCAGAAACACCCCTTATATTTTTGTCTGCATCTTTTTACAGGTAGCTATTTCTTTTGCGCTGCTGTTTCCGCGCTAGTTGCCGTTCTCTGCCAGTAGTGCATTTTCCAGCGGATCGGCTCCATAATGAAACCATGCCATGTGTTAATTATTAGGCGTTAGGATCCAAACGTTAGGATCTTAGTCTCTCCATCCTAGCCCCTGCTGTATTGCTATACCAAAAAAACCACGCTTGCGAGTCTATGTTCTAAAGTCTTGATCTTTTCTTTTTGCTGGTGATGTTATTTTTAGGCTTTTGTGGTTATCAGCCAGTTGGTTGACCAACAGTTGCGAATCAACTCGTAGTCAGATCAGAATATTCGATTTAAGCGAAATAATGCTATGCCTACCGTTAATCGCTATCTTTGTTATTACAGTCCGTTTGCTCCCCATCATCTATTGCTGCATTCGCTTCACTGATTCTTGCATGCGTTTGTACCTTCTTTATATATCCTCCGTCGTATATGTTACCTCGCGTTTCAACTTCTTTAATGCTTCATTTGTATTTTCCTGCTTTGGAAAGCGCCGTAAATACGCTGTTTGGAATGCCAGAATTTCGTACCCAGTTTTGATCAGACCAGTCTCGTCTTCATCACATACCGCCGCGAAATTATCAGCTGTAGGTCAAAGTGGAAGGAACCCAACGTGACGAGAC